AAGCTAGTAATCTTGAAGATCACATATGAATAACTTTATTTTGCATCATGGTATTCTGTTTTATCTTATGTTTCACTCTATAATTTATCAAAAAACCGACACGTCATCTTTGTGGCTTATATTTGATTACGTATCAAAAAATATATATAGCGATAGTAATTGTTATAATTGTTATCGTTATTATTTTTTTATGCCTAACGCAATTGATGATGACGTAGTAGTTCATCATACTGCTTATCAATACTGGATCTGATCTGATTAAAACTTGGATTATTGGACCGGTCATATGACCGGTCAATAACTGCGGTCGGTCGGTTATGAGTCAATGACCGCCAATAACCGACTGATAACCGACCGTGACCGACCGGACCCACCCCTACTCCAGGAGATGTTCCGGCTACTTCGCCTCTCCTATAAGTCTGCCACCTTCCATGGATCATAAAGAAGCCGCAAAAGAATTTTTTGCTTCATATAGACGTTTTAAAGAAGCAATTGAACAAGTAATACACAAAGAAATACCGGATAAATAACTTCAATGTTGCCTAGAAACTGCAATAGATACTACTAAAACGTGCTTAACAAGTGAGCAAGAATTTTTGTATAGTATCGAAAGTTGTTTAAGAATGCGTGGTTATGCTTTTTTTTATAAGTAAACAATAAGTTATAAGGCTTAAAAAGTAAATTGGCATTTAAGGTTTATGATTTATGTTTTTTATGTTAATAATATTAGATCTCTTTATGTGTATATTTACTCTAATATATGCAATTAAATGTAATCACATGACTTTAAGCTAAGAATAACAATAATAAAAATATATGAGTGCTCCCAAGGGAAAACCTGTCATTGGACATTCAATTATATTTCATGTACAGTTAGCCATCTGTAGAAAATTATCGTCATGATAGATTTTTATTGATGGCTAACTGTATACAAAATATAATCAAATGTCCGATGGCAGGTTTTCCCTTGGGCGCACTCATATGCTTTGGTCCAAATCCATATTAAAGCCGCAGCTAAAGCCTGAAAGGCTACTTAGCAAGGCTGTTACTAGAGATATTTATTAGGGGTTTAATTTATACTCCTGTATATAATATTTTATTTGCAGTTCTGAAAAAGCGAATCCATAATTATTTTATTATTCAGTTAAACAAGTGTTTACTGATTTTGTTTGTAACCCTATGATTATTATTTGTTATGATCTCAGTTCTTTAAAAAATGCCTAGCCTAAAAACGTAACTGTTTATCGTAGTTATGATAATGCTTTGAATATTTATTAGTTAGTCGATTTCAAATTGGATAATGCAAATGGGCAATAAACTCTAAACAGAAAGGGGAAAAAAAATTAATATGAATACAATTCAAAATCTAGATACTTATGGTGCAAAGAAATGGTTGTCAAAAACGAAGAGCAGGATATAAGCCATTCCAAAAATGATCCTCCGTAAATTAATGTCGGTATTCATGATTTTCATAGAGCTAGTCAGGAAAATACTCTTTTGGTAGACAAAACCCTTCTTATTAAAGCCATTTTAGCAGCTCCGGCCGAAGCTTTATTGATTACTAGGTCGAGGCGTTGAGGTAAGTCTTTAAATTTGTCTATGCTTAAATACTTTTTTACTTTATAAGTGGATCAACAAGGTCAAGCAGTACCTTCAGAACATAATAACAACTGGGTATTATTTGTGGGTGGGCAGATTGAGATTGGTTTTGATGAAAATAAGAAAATTAGCAGCTTTAAAAATAGTTCAGTATGCTCCAGTAATGCTGAGACAGGGTCAGTATCCAGTGATCTTTATTAGCTTTAAAGATGTAGGCCAAAGTAGTTATCAAGGAGTAAAAATCAAATTAATTGCTCAAATACAAGTATTTATAATGAACATATTTATTTAACCAGTAGTTCCAAACAAATTATCTAATAATTATTGGCAAGGTAATATAATGAGGTTCAATTAGAAACAGTCTTTATTTTTTGACTCAAGTATTATATAAACACTCTCATTGATGAATATGATGCTCCATTTAATAATGCCTATGTTAATTTTAGTCCCAAACAATTCAAACAAGTATTAGATCAAGAGCGGAACATATTTAGTGCTGCTTTGAAAGACAATGTTTATTTATAAAGAGGTATCTTAACTGGTATTCTCAGGATTGCCAAAGCTGACATCTTTAGTGAACTCAATTCTGGTTGTTAGGCGAAGCCTAGAGTTTTCGCCAAAAACAAATTAAAAAGACGGAATGGCGAAACCTAGCGAAACTGATGAAATATAGCACAACAAAATTGTCATGGCAGATTCTCGATTTGATTGGCTAAGAGCGACGCGACGATCAAAAAATTTGGCTGGGATTACTCAAAATTTTACTAATGAAATTACAGCCGCCTATTAAGTGAAAATTGTTTTTTGGCTAATTTTACCATCGCGTGGGTCTATTTCTTTGCAAATTTCTATTTTGAGAATAAAAAAGCTAAAAAGTTAATTCCGGCCAGAAATTAGTAAACAGTTATGTGTTAATAATAATAATATTGTTAATGAACTACTTACATATATATGGTACTTAATGTTTTTTAATGAAATGTTAAAAAGAAAAAAACAATTTAATAATAAATTTATTTAAAATTTAAATTAAAACTTTATGTTTATTTACATGGATAATATTAATACATAGATAAGCGATTAAAACATTTAAGCTTTGAAGTTCAAGTCTGAGTATATTTAATTATAAATTCTAAAGCCTGAATTCTAGCTTTCCTTTAATAGTAATTGAATACAAACAAATGGTTATCGTTTTGTTTATTACTTTGTACATTTTTCTTGTGAGCCATGCACAAATTATTTTCATCAAATGTTTGAATTCTAATTTTCTTTTAATAGTATTTGAATACAAACAAAAACTATTGCTTTGTTTATACATTTTTTATATAAGCCACATGCTGTACTTAGTAGCTACGCAAAAAAATATCTTCATTCACCAGCATGGCTTAATCTTTTCCAAAGTATTAGAGGATTTGATCTTCGCTGAGTTTTGACCTTCTCTGAGGTTTTGCCTTTCGCCAGGGGTTTCGTCAGTTTCGCCGGGGAGATTCGTCTTTCGCCATTTGTCCATAATAGTTTCGCCTAACAACACTAGACTTAATAATGTTGTTAAATAAACTTTATTAGACCAAAGATTGCCTAGCACTATGGCTTTGCTTAAACCGAAGTAGATGAACTAATGACCAAAGCATTGCCACAATTAACGCCAGCCACTTGAAACCAATTACGCGAGCAAATGCAAGATTGATACAATTGTTATCAACATGGTGGTCAGATGGTGTATAATCCGTTTTCTGTAGTCAATTGTTTAGCTGAGCAAGGCCAATTAGGTACTTATTTAATTGACTCTGGTGGTATTCAGCTGTTGGACAAAGTCATTATTGTTGTGAACCTGCAAGCTGACTTACAAAATTTACTAGCAGGTAATGCCATCAATAAGAGGCTATATAAATATGTGTCATTAGAACAAATTAAATCCAATCAGTATGTATTATATAGTTTGTTAACCTTAGCTGGTTATTTAAATCCCATCAGTAGTAACAATGATCCGTTAGATATATTAATTAGAGGAGGTAATTTACTATTATTATTTGGAATTATCATTTAATATAAAAATTTATGTAGATAAAGTTATGTTAGTTTGTATTGGCATTATCGTTGATGTCTATCGTAATTTATTCAATTAAAAACTTACTAGCTATAGTGACACAAGCATGTAGTTAAAGTTATGTTAGTTTTGTATTGTCATGATCATTGATGTCTATCGTAATTTATTCAAATAAACCACTTACTAGCTATAGTGACACACAGTATGTAATTGAAGTTATTTTAATTTATGTCTATCATACACATTTGTAAATTTTGGTTCCTTAAAAAAAGTTAAAGCTATTCAACCACACATGTCACCGTAATAGTCGATAAGTTTTTTAATTGAATTTTTTACAGTAAACTACGATAGACATCAATGATAATGCCAATACAAACTAACATTAACTACATACTGTGTGTCACCGCAATAGCTCGTAAGTTTTTTGATAGAATTTTTTACAGTAAATTATATTATACTTACAATTCATCCACCAATTTATAGGCTTCCATTGCCCATGCATCTTTGGACTTAATTTTAATAATTTCTTCAAGTCAGTGATTGATTCATCATATAGTTAATTTCTCTTCGATATCTTAGCGCTGTTATATTATCTAGTTCAATTTCTAGCAAACTATTTAGATATTCCAATGCTTTATCATATTTACCCGTTACAAAAAATATTTTTTCTTGATAGTTTAATTCAAATACATTGTCTTGATTTTTTTTCTACCAATTTTGTTAATTTCTCTTAAATTAACCAATACATTTTCGTATCCATCCATAATGTAATAAAATCTTTCTTGATATTCCAATACATTATGTGATTGTTTACTAATGTATTTATTAGTCATTGCTGTAAATCAAAATGGATATATAGACGAATATTTAAACAATTCATAGCTGAAATACACTTCTACGAATCTGCCTTGTAATCTAAATCCAACGCAAAGATATAGAATGTCTTTCCAATTGTCAGGCAGATTTAATGCAATTCCTTAAAATATATTATAAATATTAAATTTCTACTTAATCCGCTTTGAAAATATAAAATTTTCCTAAATTTTAATTATCTAAATTAATTCTATTCTTGGTATAAAATACCATCTTATCCAATAATATCACCTGTAGTATATGTTTGTCCATACATCTAGAACCAAAAATAGTATCCATCGTCACCATGATAGTCGCACCCCCACAATTCATTTTCCTTAGACTCTTGTCCTAAAAGATATTATGATATTAATTTTAATCTATAATAAAAAAAACAATATAAAAATCTATTATTACCAGGCATGATCATGTCATTTATATAATCTGTTTAATAATTAAATTGTCTATCTCTTTATCATTTTGCTTTGTACAATATCCGACTCCAATCATTCTATCAAGGAATAGAGTAAAAAGATATAAAAAAAAATGCAGGTGTGTTTATGACAGGAATTGATTAACATAAACATTTTTTTTTATTCATAATTTTAATTTCAAAATAAAATATCCCACATTGTGAAGGAATTGGATGATTTGCTCGAATTATAACAGCTTTATTATCATCAGGAACTTTTTTGTTAAATAAAATTAACAGTTATCTATTATTCTTTAGTTAAGTTACACTTATTAAACAAGATATTAATTCAATTTATTATGTTTTTGTGAGATTTCTCTTTTCTCATCTTTATCTTGTCGTTATAATTCACTTTTAGTCCACTTGAATCTATGCTAATATATGGTGAATTATTTTCCATATCCCATGCAATCGGTAAAACAATATCATTGAATGGAGTTGTTAATTCTAAATTTTCCATTGCGTTAAAATCCTTTCAAGTCTTTTTTCTAGATGAGTAGTAACCTGATTTTGTACATGTTTACAAGCATTTATTATCGAACACAAAGCATTATTTATGCGTATGTAGTACCTGTATACATCAGCGCTAACCAAAGTGTTTGATTATTGATAACTTATCAATATTAAAGTCGACGGAGGAATATGGTATGTATTAACATTGAAGTTGAGGAGGAATATGGTATGTATTAACATTGAAGTTGAGGAGGAGTATGGTATGTATTAACATTGATAATGAAGATGATAAGGGCAGTAAGGATCCATAAACTAAAATTAAATAAAATGATGATATTTTATAAGGTCTTTCAACTACTACGGATAATAAAATGTGAGGGACCAATATGAGGTTAATATTTTTAATGATTACTAATGACCCACCTAGTATCGCCACCAAAATCAGATACGTAATCGGTGCTTAAATTTATTTGCCGACATTATAAATTTAATGTGAAATATACAATGATGATATTTTGATTAATACTAGTAATATGTTGAAAAGAAACCTTTTTTTGAAATTTTGTAATATTTTCTAAGATGGATAGCACATATTTTGCACAATCTTGTTCATCCTGTTTAATTATGAAACCCATTGTTTTATTTCAAAATAATAAAAAATATGGTTTGAGTATATTTCGTATAAATGAAAGCAAAAAATAAAGCGTAATACTTGCAAGGAAAAAGAAATAATATGAAATCAAAAGAGCTCGAATACATGGTTTATGAAAAAATTCATGAGCATTGAAGAAGTATAGTACATAATAGATCTCAAGGCTGTTGTAGATATTATCTGAATAGTTAATGAATTAGAAAAGCATGACGCAAATGAAGTTAATTTTCTTAGGAAGATGAATGCATTGTTTTTCTAGAAGTTTATTATCTGTTTTAAAAAAATTTCCAAACTTGGCATTAACAATAAAATTCGCAAAATTCTCTTATTACGGAGATGAAGAAGCATTATGAAAAATGGTTGACTATTGGGTCTAATTAATCATATACAAGTCAATTTAACGATCAACCTGATAATTTAGACAACAAAATATATGAGATAAGGAATCAAGCACTGAAGATAGTAAATTCTAATTAGAAAACTTTAAAGAAATGTAAAAAAACTCTTTGAGATATAAATTTTTATTATTATTTATTAGTTACATTTAAATGAATATATATATAATTTTATTATTGCTTTAAATTTTATTTTTTTAAAATAAACTTTAAATTTAATACTATAGAAAAGTTTTTTTTGCTCGTTTGAAATATTTAATGTCATCTACTATTTTTGAATAAGTATGAAATTTGATTCAATACTTTGAAGCTTTCTTTTTTTTCTTTCGAAAGATTATTAGACCTTTTTTGATGTAAATATATTTTAAGCGTTCGAATTTGAATGTAATTCGATTCAAAATTTGAAACAAATAAAGCGTGCCACTGGCGCTCTAGGATACACTAGGTTAAAATCAAAAAAAAATTTAAAGCAATAACCAAATATAATAATAACCAAATAAATTCTTAGCAGGATAATTCAGATAAATAAATAACCAATTTTTGTTCGATAATCTCGTGATTTCGTAAGTCTTATGCTCATATTGTCTGATTTTTGGAATTTTACATTTTTTTAATCTTGACTAATTTTTGATTTGCCACTCCATTTTGAACGGAACAATTACCAAAATGTTCGTCTTATTGAGACGAACGTTTTAGTAGTTGTTCCATTTAAAACGGACTGGTAAATCAAAACTTAGTCAAGATTAAAAAAATGTAAAATTCCAAAAATTACCTGGGTTCCCTCACGTTGGTTATCATAACAAAATTAAAGATCATTATTATAAATGCTATTGAATAAGATTATTACCTATTTGAAACATTTCTAGTACAACAATTAAATGACTATTTTATATAAAAACTTTAAATGCTAGAAAATATTAAATTGATTTTGCACATATTTTTCAATTGCATAACGATAACAAAATTGGATTTCGACATCCAAAATTAATAAATTTGCCAAAAATGAAATTAATGTAATATAAAAATATGTCTACAGGCTTATCATAAAAATACGGCATCATATTAGTTTAAAAACTTTCTATTTTCGTCACTCACAATAATAATTGAAAGCAATACATTATTTATTACTACTTAGTTAAAACAAGGCGACGAAGTCATCTACAAACACAATTTCTAGTTATGCAGTAAAATAAAAAATTCAGATGTTCATGTATATGGTATTACATCCGAACTACCTCTTTATAACTACGGGCAACTAAGGACGATAATAATTATCGCGGCTGATGCTGAAATTTGAGGTCTCTATTTGAAAATATAGCCCTGCTAAAATTCACATATACGCTTTATTTATCAGTTATAGCTCAAAATTCTAACTCAACCTTAAAAAAAAAGAGGGAGAATTCTAGAATATTTATACATAGCTAAAGCTACAGATCTTCGGGATTAATATCTATACCATCTGTTAAGGTAATGTATAATAATAGAATAGAAGCAATACTATACAAAATAACATATAGATCAAATGATCAATGGTCTTGGTCATATGATATCAAGTAGCAGGGATCGACTTCATAGGATAAATACAACATGGGTTGACAACGATTATCCAAATTTTTGATCATAAAAACTTGGATAATCAAAATTCGAATATAAATTCTAAGTACATAGAAGTTTTACTGCGGAAATTCGGATTATCGTGAGTCAACCAGTAACGGAAAACTTTATAACTGATCAGAGGTTGAATAAGTTGACAGACCCCCTACTCGACCTGTAACACTATTAGCCTGTAAAAAGAATTGATGTTAAGTTTTTATTAAGACTAAAAAACTAGGATTACGCTAGGTATATAATAATGATAAAGGTCTAATTAAAAATTAATTAGAACAGCAAATCGACTAATCTAATAAATTAGTCATTGCAAATAAATAATGATCGACCCGAAATCACTAAACCTTAATATTACTACTTAAGCTGTATAGTTTCTTCAACTTTTTCGATTAATGGAACAATTATTTAATGAAAGCAGTCTATTATGAAACAAAAAACAAGACTTTATGCCTATGATGCTAATGATATACCTTTCAAACTTAATATATACTGAAAATCTAAAGACAGACATTGCAAGTGCACTTAGATGTTGAAATTGGACTAAAAACTTAATTGAATTTGTGTATGCCAAGGCGCAGTGATTGTAGTTAGTTAGCTTAACTGGGCTGGGTAATTTTAATACGTACGTATGACCTAGACAACTTGTGTAGCGCTACTAAGTAGTTTTAGGTGAACAGAGTACAATGTTAGAGATTAGTTTTAAAAAAGTGAATTATATATTCACCTTTGCACATGACCAATCAGACAGATGGGATTATACCTAAAATGAATAACAAGGGTTCCACTGTGTGATTAGGTTTTTTTTAGAAACTTAAATTTATTATCGTAACGCAAATCAAACATTTAAGACACCAATTGCTGAATTGAGAGTAACTAAATAAAATTATCGTTATGCGTGAGGTTATTAGATGTGGAGTCATTATCAGATTAAACTTACGTGATCTGTAGAATCTAACGCTAGACAGTAACAATTACTTTATAACTAAAATACCAATCGTATAATGCTACAGTACTTTATTATAAAATGAACAACTGTTTAAATGCTAAAAAATCATTTATTAACGTTAAGTCGGTCAACAAAAAATAGAACAGGCGAATTGTAACATATAATACTGTCTAAAAAAAATAAGTATGACCATGATTATAACCATTCAATATGTGAACCATTGCACTCCTTAGGTCCTCTGTAACAATAACAAACGTATGATTTTTGCGCATTTAAAAATGAAATTTTTTAAAAGAATTTAATAACGTAAATTTTTAAAAAAATAGGTTGGAAAAAACCTTTTTAATTAAAAACTGCGTATATATATATGTTGGAATATACACAGTAAATACAAAATAAAAGTCTATGAAAGTTTTGAAAAATTCTATATAAAAGATGCTAAATGTGAATGAATGAATGAATATGTGAAATGAGTGAATTTACAAAATGTGAAATGAATATGAATATACAAGTGCAATAATATAATGAAATTTTTTTTCTGCATTTTTTTTGAAGTATATAGATAAATATGATTTTATAAAAATATATTATTATATTTTATCGCATCACCGGGCGTTATCACTTGCCGGATTGAAAGAAGTGAAATCTATCGGTTCTCTTTTTTCTAAAGCATCTCTTTCTGATACAATTGTTGGATCAGGTACATCAGTTGATATATCGTTTTGAGAACTTTTACCGGTTTCGGACGAATCTGACTGGTTAATTGGTATGATTGGCAATGCAGTGGTGTATATTGCAACTAAATTTCAAGAATTTCAAGAATATTATAATGTTAATTTTGATATGGTAATTGGATTCATATAAAGAAAAACAATGATTTTATTAGTCTTTAGTACTTACTGTATACTAAGAAAATGAGTACGATTAATAATTTTTTCATTTTGAATAATATCATAAAAAGGGGAAATACGAGAAATTGGCGAAGTAAAATGTGATAAGGAAAAATTCGTAAATTTTGAAAGGATTAAAAAAGAAAGTAAAAACAGGTGTCTCTTTAAACTAAGTAGATAAGCAGGTAATCAAATTTATCGTAAGCTGCCAGAGCCAACTTTCTAAACCCAAGTTTATTGGAAAGTGTTTGAAGAGTTTCTCGAAAGTTTTTGTTTTAAAACAGTCAAATAAACACCTGAATTTTTCTTTTTGTTTAATGATATGATAAATTATTCAAAAGAAAATGAGGAACAAAGAGGGAACCATGACACTTATATACAATTATCGACACTTCTTAATGCATGATATGATCAGATGGAATACAGTACTCAGAACGTGTACTTTGTACGAGAAACATCTTTTTTTTAATCATGAATGGGCGTTAAATCGTGCGCATGTATTGATATGCACTTGCCTTTGTTTGAAAATTTTGTTACATATTAGATTGAAAGAATCTTTGTGAAAGCAACACAAAGATCGTCATGCGTTAAGCAAATCGACTATTACTCCTTTTGTATGACCGACAATGAATTTTAGAAAACAAAGACTCTTTGTTAATGCATTAAGTGCATAGAAAAAATGGTACCTAATTAATCATTTAAATAATGGAATATTTTGGTTGGACAGAATAATTTATATCTTATCGACAAATATGTGTATTCGCAGTTTTTTTTTTTAGTCATCATATTCAAATCACACCACATTTGATGTTATAAATTACTAACATTAATTCAGTAATTCTAGTTTCTGTACGTCTGGATGGCATTAAGTTCATAAATTTTACTAAACCAAGTTAAATTAACAAAGATGATAGTTTGTCAAAGTAAAAATGATTGAAATTTAGACTTTTGTATTATTAATATTAGTAATTTTGTTTCAGTAAGGACAGGAACGATAAGATATAAAGTAAATATAGCCAATTTCGTCTCTAATATAGCATATATATCATATATACTAATCATTCAAAACTAGGATTCCGAATGATTCTAATAATGGGCAAAGTGGACAACGATAATGTTAAAAATTGCAGATCTAATTGGTTAAAAAAATTTTTAACCAATCAAAACTCAAGTGAAATTCTAATATAACCTCCGTTAGCATTTAGTTGAGGTTTATCGCATTTAGGAAACAAAAAATAAGTCGAGATCAAGTATAATCATGCATCTAGAGCTTTTCATAGAATGTTAGGATGCAAACTATATCATTTAATATGAAATCGATTTTTAGATCTACTCTACAGCATAACCGCTCTCGGAGGTTGCATCCGGGTGATCTGTATAACGTTTATAAAGCCATTGGCTATGGCTAACCGGGTGACTTGGAATAATTTTCTGTAAATATTAATTGGTAACCCGTATAATTGAATTTGCTAAAATAGTACTTGAGATTAGGATCTAAGTATATTTCTATATTATCTCATTCCATCATTGGAAGTTATTGATTTATACGCGCATATAATTAAACTTGCAGACTACCTTTGTCCGTTAAAATGAACCTCAATCGAATGAAACTCAAAATATCCCTTTCGACTGTACCCTCTTACACAACGTCAGCTTCCCTAGCATAATTACCAAAACCATATAGACATCAATCAAAATTAGAATCCTATTTAACATGTAATTCATGATTATTAATTATAAATTAATAAAAAGATAAATAAAAACAACATAAATATATAAAACTATATAAAAATATTCTCAAAATTGAATTTATTAAATTGATGATTCGTGGACGTATAAAACAGAGGAAGATAGTTAGATATGTTTACTATATATTATAATTTTTGTTTTTTTGTCAAATCTGTAATTCCAAAAAAGTAACCTAATTTTTTTTTTACAAAGTAACACTTTTTTTATTAATAATAAAAGTTGTAAAGAAGAGAATTTTAATTGTAATAGTAATTAAAATACTAAAGTTAATTTAGTAGATAATAGATATAGATATTTTAATCTTTGTAATTATATGTTTTCTTATTATTATTTTGGAAATGCAAATTTTTAAATTTTATTATAACTTTCTCTGATTCGTATCTGGATTACGAATTAATGAATTGACTAAACTATATAATGATCGATTATTGATCGAGTTGAATCAATCAATAATCGAGCATGATTTTAAAAATATTCACAATTTTGTTTGATCGATCATGAAACTTCTCGTAGAATATATATCACTTCTTTAGATATATATTTATATATTATTGGATGATATATGATTGATCAATTATTGATCTAACGCTAATGATTGATCGATTGTATATAATCGAGCCTATAAATTTCGACCATATTATATCAAGTATACATAATTGATTTTTGATCGATTAAGCAAAATTTTTATTTTTTGTCAAGTCAATTCACTAGATTTATTATTAATTTGACTTTTTCATACCAAATTTGACCAGTCTTAGTAATATCAGACTTAATAGCACCGACCGCAGTTTAGGTAATAGTCTCAGAAGCTTAGTAGTTCACAAAAAAATTATATCAGAAAGTTGACTCTCCGAAAATATGCTCTCCTTTTTTGCACGTAATGCTGACCATGATTATTGTAAAGTAAGCCAAAGTTGGCATAGCGTAGGCCAGGGAATATGTAATCAAAGCTACCGTATTTTTTCTTCTTATCCATTCCATATTTTTGTAAGATATTATATCTTCAAGTTTTTTACATCTTCAACTACTTTTGAACTAATACAAAACGTGATTGTTTACTTTTAAACCATTCTTTTCAGTATGAGATGATTGCTTTTTTCATGATGAAATACCTACACATAAACAGGTATAATTAATGTCGCGGCTGATGTTGATGCTGAAATTCGGGATCTCGATCTGAAAATATAACCCTACTAAAATCCACATATGTAGGGTTTGAACCACACTTGGCCTTCAAGTTAAGCTTCAGATTCGAATTAAATCCAAACATAAAGTGAATCTGTCAAATCTACAAAGCAAATGTGATCTGAAATACGTATATGTTATTGTCCACAATAACCAGAGATTGGATGTGGATGTATAATGGCCGCTGGATGCGAAGCAGCCAGTGTGCCATTTTGTCATTATCCGATCACCAATTTTTGATTATTATCTGCTTACGTGAATAATAACTGTTTTATTCCCAGGTTCATATTATACTTCTATACTATTTTTTTAAAGTAAAGTTACGCATTTCATAGGGTTTGGCTTTACTACAATCACAAAACTGCTGTCATTTTCTTTCACTTTACTTTTCGTAACTTTAATAGTTTAAAAATTCATATAACATTAAAAATAGTAAAAAAAATATATATAATCAAAAAACCTCTGAATTATTCCAAATCCAAGATATGGGCAATAAGTGAAAAAAATAGTATAAAAGTATAAATAAGAACCAAGGACTAAAATAAAAGGTATTTGATCTTTATAACTTAAATAGTATTATAAAACCCATGAATTTTCTGTGGTTTTTTTAGGTGATCAAATCCTTTTGTTATTAATAGTATAGTCAAATAAATATGTATATATGCATTCACGCATATATAATTATACTATTTAATCTGACATATGAACTATTTAAATATACATAATAAAACTGGAAATCGATTGAACAAGTTAGGTTAAAAAAAAAACAAATTTAGTTCTAAATTCTATACTCTTTTATTACAAACTTTATCCTTAAATCCTAGCAAAACCCTAAAAAAAAATAACATTTTAGAAAAAACTTTTAAATATTCATATTAAGAGTTTTAATTTTCATCATTAGCCAATTTCAGCATTAGTCTCAACAACTGATTACACAAATATAATTATATAGGTAAGGGTGATAGAAGTTTTTTTTGCTATGTAATTAAAAGTTGATGATGTTTATGATTAAAGATGAGCAAAGTCAGTTACATATTATTACATATTATTACATATTATTACTTATTATTAATTATTATTACTTAATATTACTGTGAAATAGGTAATGATAAGTAATTTTATAATAATTTGATTCTTAGCAGCAATTTTTCATTCAATCTCAACTTTGATCACTCACCTTCAACTGTTACATATTGTAAACTGTTACTTTGCTATTTCTGTATTTTGCAAGCCAAAGCTACAATATACAGTCAGACCTCCCTAAATGCATGCCATTAGGACTGACTCTAGAGCGTGCATTTTGAGAAGGTTGCAATTAGAGAACATTAATAAAATCACAATGTGACTATTATTATGGCTTTAATAACCTAGGAATAATGGATTCGATTGGCTAATAGTCACGTTGATGCATTTATGAAGGGAGTTTTTATAAGTGGGCCAGACAATTAGCATGCACTTACAGAATAAAGAATATGCATTTATTTATAAGTCCCGCCATGGGCCCAGACTTATATCATGCATTTAGAGAGGTGATGCATTTCATTTAAGAGGGTCTGACTGTAAATTAGAACCTAACGAACTATTTAATATATTGAATCTACTTACCCACTTCAACGAATACTTATACAAGCCTACCAGTATTGAGAGTTACAATGAATTAGAACCTAAAATCACTTTTAAAAACGCGATAATTGAGAATATTAATATTAAAGAAAATATATGCTTGAAGTGAGTTCATGGGTTCCAAGAAAAATCAACAACGAGATACACCTGATCAGAACTTATCCAGTTAAAGGGATCAAAGTCATTTTTTAAAAGCCAAAAATTAATAATTATGAATAAAAAACATAATTTAAGAAATAGAAACACGAATTGTTTTAGGGCATTGAAGTTAAAAACTTATATAATTTGTCAAAAACCTCCCAAAATTAGCAATTAAAAACTTTTTTTCTTGAGTGTCGAAAGCGAAAGTCTGTAACATTGTATAAAGGTATAAAGCATATGAGATATTTTGTTTTATTTAATTGAAACAAAAGCTTCGTATTAATAAGAAAACTTTATACAGTCTCAACTCTTTCCATAGCGAATTGACAGTGAAAAAAAAGTTCGTTATAAAAAATCGCTATGTTTTATTAAGAATCCATGACCGAACCATTGTGAAATTTAAATATATAAGTTCGTTGCATTCAGAGTCGACTGGATATATAATATACATATATGTGTTTTTTTTTTAATCAACAAAATCTTTGCGTTAATCGAAATTGCTTAATTTTTAAAGTACGATCATCCGGGCGATCATCCGAACCCACATTTTCTGGGGGGCAAACTTTCTTGGTGATTATACTTCATTTGTTCTAATTTATACCAGTAAACGATTTGAACATTGTCATTGAATTGAGCTAATTTATACCTTATAACTGGGTTACCCGATTTATTGGAAATGATCAGGTATTGTAACACGGTAATAATCTCGTAAACGAGTGAGTAACCCGGTGCTTAAATTTTAAATCAGTTCCAATATTTAGATTTTCAAATTTTAACATTTTTCGATTGAGGTTTGATATCCAAACATTCTTATGTGACAAATGTTTATATGAACACAGACTGAGAACATATTTTAACCAATAAAAAGAAATCATGATATGCCATAAGTATCCTTTTAAAGACTATTTAGTTTGATCAAAAAATCATAACTTTTCAGGATTATTGCACTGCATGATTCTTGGAAGGTCATTTTTCTGAAAAGACATAACACTGACTAAGTTTGCTAGCATTAAGCTAACTTTGCCAAGATTATGTCGGGAACTTAAAATCTTTACACCTAACTTTTGCCATACATTAGTCAGGGTATCTTTTGGAAGCGAATTAATTAATACATTAGCAAGTGATCGCTTAACCATTGAAATTGTACAAAGTCTACTTATTAATCTTCTAAATCGTTTTTTATTTTTATTCTGTTTTGAAATTTGTTGACTTTTCATCTTATTACATACTTAGCAATGTTAATACATATGTTAATACATATGTTATATTCATTAGTTAACGTTGAAGTTGTTGATGTCAGGGATAGAAAACCGATTACTTATAACTCTGGTCAGATTTGCAGATCGTTTGGCCAAGTTCAAAGTTTTTTTTTTGATTCCTGGCCAAATGACCTGCAAATTCGACCAGAATTATAAGTAATCGGTTCTGCTATTTAGCGTTAGATCCTTACGTTAAATATTAAGTATATAGTAGAGAAAATAAATTAAGCTGGTGAAACTGGTAACTATTCAAAATTTGTTTGGCTGTTCTAGTAGAACAACCAAACATATTTTAGATAGTCACCAGTTTCATCAGCTTAATTTAGTTTCACCAGCAACTCTAGTATATAACAACGGTAAATTAGTACGGACATGTGGAAATCATGATAGTACGTATAGTTTGCGAAAGAATAAATTCTTTCGAGACAAAGCTATTTTTCCTATAACTTCACACGAATAAAGGACAATGCTCGCACTTGTCCTAACCTTTTAAAAAAGGGTTTACTTGTAAAGGATTAGGCCTCCTCTTTCATTTGGCATGTGAATGTGATGAATTAGCATGAACTAATTACTAATGCTTATTAGCCACGCCCAATGATTTGTCACATCCTCATACCAAATGGATAATAAATAGATTTATGAAATTTATTTTACAAAACGTATATTAAAGTAATTGCATAGTTACGGAAATTGTGAAATAATATGAATATAAAGTGTTTTAGAACGTACTATGTATCAAAATTTTGCGCAATTTTTTCGTACAGTAAGCTCCAAAAGTTTAGGACGGTTACACAAAAATCATAGCAAGCAAAAAAAAAATATAATACAGCAATAATAATAAAATAACGTAATAAAAAAGCTAATCAAAATATTAATCAATAAATTAATACGTACTACGTGCCGCTACGTACGTATTTTAACGTTAACATATATTTGATCTATGTTGTATAATCATTATGCATTGATATTGTAATACGTACGTATTATATTGATTTCGCTGACTTGAATAAAAGGAGGAACCGTAGATGTTACACGACTGATCCTTCACCCGGTGTGCAACATATATGTTATGATTATAATCCAACACCATTTTATTATAATACTGTAATAAAAATGGTGTTGGATTATAATCATAACATGTACTAGCGGAGTACATGATAGAGAAGTAAGCAATTGGCCGAGTTGGCCAGAACGGCAAAGACTACCCGCGAAAGGAGCAATCGTAATTGCACTGGGAGTCGCCGTGGGAGCAGCCGGTGGTTTCCCGCTCGCTGAAGCAAGTCGGCTGTGAGTGACGAAATGATATAATTACGTGTTCACCGCTTGGAAGTGGGTCGGTGGGATTTTTCTTTTCAGGTACAAGCGTAGACTGTCTTGTTCCCACCGTCCTTGGCTCTTATACTTACCTGTTACTTAAAATACCACTCCTGTGTTTTCTTGTTACTTTACGCCGACGCACATGTTATTTGCATGTGTAATCCATGATCACATCAGAGCTTCCCACTAGAGTGTCCAGGGGTCTGCGGCGGCAGAATCTGCGCAGAATTCGGTTTTTGGCGCAGTTCTGCCTGCCCAAGCAGGAAAAGCAGGAAATCTGCCTAAGCAGAATCCGCAGAATTTTCCTAATAAATGATTGGTTGACTGAGTCGGCTATTATAATGTAAAATTGGATATCAATCTCTATGATTAATAAAGTTAAAAATCAAAGTTTCTCTACTATTAAAGTTTAAAATAAAAGAGGAATTGTACGATTTCGTTTGCTTTTTTTTTTTTTTTGAAGAAAAAAAAATGGTTATCTTCGCAGATGATAGAATCGAGGGTCCATATTCCACATCAGAATATAGACAAGAATTTTATGTTGAAGGTACTGTGTTAATGTGCCGTGCTTGCCGCATAGCTTTGAATCATAAAAAAAAATCAGTACTCGATGATCATCTTATTTCAATAAAACATCAAGTTGCAAAAACTGCTGCAAACAATCCAGTACCAATACAAGTACAACAAAATATCAATGCTACACGTTTGTCTGAGAGAGAACAAATGAATTTGAACCTTGTTCAAGCTTTAACAGCTGCTGATATACCTCTTGAAAAATTGGATAATGATACATTAAAAGAATTTTTTAAAAAATATTGTAAATTTGGTAAATATTGCGATTAATAAATTAGATTATATAATATATACATAAGTTACTAATAAATTAATTCTATTTGTTATGTATCAGTATATACTAATAAATTAATTCTATTTTATATACGTACATAGGTACTTCCATTGTCGGATCTAATCAACTTTGAGAAAAATATTTATCAATGTTATATGACTTAGAATTAGATAAGTTACATGAAACATTGCTAAATCAACAAATTTGTATTACTGTAGATGAATCAACAGATGCCTGTAGTAGAGCAGCCGTCAATATTCTTTTTAGCTTTGGAAATAAAACAAAATTGGTTGCTACAAAGCATCTTAAAAAAGTTGATGCTACAACAATTTCACAAGTTGTTATGTCAACTGTTCAATTATATAATATACCTTATGAAAATGTTAGACTTTATATCTCTGATAACGCTGCTTATATGTTGAAATCTTTTCAGAATTTAAAACCATTTTTTTTTTAAATTATATCATAATACTTGTCTAGCTCATATCTATAATTTAGTTGGTGGAACATGGGTAGATTATTATCAATTTAAGTTAGTAGATAATATTGCATCATTTATTAAATCTTCTTTTATTCACTGTTCAGCATGTAAACGTAGATGGATTAGTCATCTTTCTTTCAATGCTATTACTATGCCATTACTTCCACCTTGTTTTGATTCGAGTTTGGATACAAATTTGGGTCAAAATGAAAACTTAAATACTATTACTACGACCTTACCTCCTTTATCTATTAAAACTCATTGGAATTCCTGGTTCAAATTTATTTTTTGGATTAATCAATATCTTCCATTCCTTATTACATTCTATCAAGAAGAAAAAAATATTGATAATAGTAGTGCTGCAATCCAAGAATTAGCACAATTCGCTTGTAATAATACACTTATTCTTAAATTTGAAATTTTAGTGTTATTTATTACATCAAATGCACAAAGGTATATATCATATATATGTATGTATATATACGTAGTACATATGTATATATACATAGTACATACGTATGTATACTGTATATTATACTAAATTTATATTAAATATGAATATGTATCAAGATTTGTTCTGTTCTAATTACTAAAATGTAAAATCTATATTTTTTAGATTCGTAACGGATTTAAAATTCTTTATGATTAGGAATAAACCTGTTGCGTCATATGTTATTACAAGAATTGAATAAACCTACGCAGCATTAACAAATAGTATGCATGATCCACTATTAGATATGAAACTAATTGAAAAATGTATATCAAATGGAATTGACTTAAATAGCTATAAACTTATTTTTTGTGAAGCGTATAAGTTGGCTTGGAATAAATTTAAAAAACATATTGATAGACATAATGTGCTTTCTCTTTTTAGAGCAATTAGATGCTTCGACTCAAAATTTATACAAGCACAAAATAATAGGCATAGTTTAGATAATTACAAAGAAATTGATGAATTTTTATCACCCACAAATAATTTAATTGATGAATGGGAAATATATTGTGCCCTTCAAGAAATTTTTAATGAAAATTTTAATTTAAACAATTATTGGATAGAAAAAAAAAACACATTACCAATTTTATCTAAAATAACACTATTTTATATTTGGATACCTGTTTCGGGTGTGGATGTAGAACATAGTTTTTCTGCTTATAAAACTATTCTTAGTGATCGTCGAAGATGTCTTTCAGAAAATTCTATTGTAATGCTAAATTTTTTATATTACAATTCTGATTAATAAATATGTCTTTATAGGAAATTTTCAATAAAAATAAATAATAATTTTAACAAGCAATAACTACTGAAATTTTTTCGTAATATATTTTATTACTACATTCTTTTGTAATTATTAGTAACGGCGGTCATTACGTATTGATGCAATAATTCTTGCACCCATTACTACATTCTACTGTAATTAGGACTATTGCTACATTTTGTGTAATTATTTATTTTCCCTTTGCGATAATACTTGTATCGCTTACACTTTCTTAGTATTTGTACATTGAAATAAATCATTAGTTTTTCTATTTTTAATGCTTACAGTACTGTGTGTTAAATTGGCTGGAACTGTAAGTTGCTCTCCCAACCGTAACAATATGCAACCACCACAACTACCACCGAACAAGCGACTATTACATTTACTGTAGTAGCCACTTATTAATTTTTTAGACTTTGCGGTCAATTTCAACAAATATGATGGTAAAGTATAATATATCGTTTTACTCAATTACATATATTTGATCTTAAATAAATATTTTTGCGAAGCTACAACAAAAATTTCTTATAGATCAAAATTTAAAGTACTATTTATATGCCGCCGCAGAATTCACAAATTTAACGGTAATCACAGCAGAATTTGACAGTTAAGGCAGCAGCCCCCTGGACACTCTACTTCCCACGCTATTACCTCTTTCACATGCGTATGTACCACATGTATACTATCATAAGGTCGGAGGCGACGTGCCGTGTTGCCGTTCTCTTTTCGATCAAGTGATATACTATCACTTTGCATGATTTTTTTATTTTTCGTGTGACCGTCCTAAACTTTTGGAGCTTACTGCACGTACATACGTACTAGTACGTACATATTTTATATAACCGCACAGTACGTACCGGTACTACGTACTTTATTAGCCATATACCTGTTAATATTGGTGCAATGACTAACGCTAAGCTGATGTACGTATGTATGTATATAAATAGCACAGATCAATAATTCCATAAATTGACGAGAACGATAATTTATTTGGTTTACTAATCATCTACGTAGAAAGACCTAAGGAGATCTTAACCTCAACGAAAGATTTAGAAATGACATCTTCAAATAATAATATTTTGCCGACAGCATGTGATATTGAAGATAAACCACCATTTATTAACATAAATTCAAATGGACTTAAAATGGATTACACGAGTAAGATGAAAATTATAAATTAAATGAAGCTAATTTCTCAATGAATGAACGTTACTTGTTTGTAGTTTAATTAATATAGAATGATATATTTTAAAAAAAACCCCATTTTAAGATCCTGATGATTATAAAGCTGCTATAATTCGAGCAGATCATCCAATCCCTTTACAGTGTGGAATATTTTACTTTGAAATTAAAATTATAGATAAAGGGAAAAATGGGTAAAATTAATAATCATTTTATGTCATAAATACCTCCTTTGTTCTTGAAATTCTAATCCTACTTCTTAATAGAATGATTGGAGTCGGATATTGCACAAAGCAAAGCAATAAAAAAACAGACGATTCCAATATGGAATCAGATTTTATAAACGACATGCTTATGCCTGGTGATAGCTGATTTTTATTTTATTTTATTATCGTTTTAGATTAACATCTATGTTATAAAATCCCTTAGGACAGGAATATAAGGAAAATGAATCGTGGGGATGTGGTTACCACGGTGACGATGGATATTCTTTTTATTCTGGAAGCGTCGAATCATATGGACCATCATATACTACTGGTGATATAGTTGGATGTTATTTAAATTTTATAAATAAGACGGTTTTTTATACTAAAAATGGAGTCAATTTAGGTAATTACCATTTTTACCAATTTAAATTATTGTTTTTTTAAAGCAAATAGGCAGAAAATTTAATGATTATAACATATTTTAAGGAATTGCATGCTATCTGCCTGATAATTTGAAAAATGATCTATATCCTTGTGTCGGATTTAGATCGCAAGGCGGGTCGATAGAAGTGAACTTTGGTCATGAAAATTTTAAATATTCTGGTAAAATTATTAAAATGGTTTAATCGATTAATTATTTAGAATTTACCTCGTCAATATTATCTTTTTTAATTAATAGCAATGACTAATGAAGATATAAAAAAATCAAATAATACATTAGCATTGGAATACCAAGAAAAAGTTTATTTTATCATGGATGGATATGAAAATATGCTTGTTAATTTAATAGATGTATTAACCAAATCATTAGAAAAAAAGCAAAATAATGTATTGGAATTAAGCTATCGAGGAAAAGTATATTTTATTATGGGCAAATACGATAAAGCATTTGAAGATTTCTCTAAATTACTAGAAATTGAATCAGATAATACAATGGCACTAAGATATAGAGGAGAAATTAATTATATAATGAAAAGATATGAAGAATCAATTGCTGACTTAGAGAAATTATTAAAATTTAGGTCTGGTGATGAATGGGCAACGGAGGCATATGAATTAGTTAAAAAGTTGTAAGTATATCGATTTTGTACGCCTAATTCTGACAGCAAATTTCACCAATTTTAGCGAAATTTGCTGTCCAAATTGATTTTACTGTGTTCGAATTAGGCATATAAAATCGATAACATGCTTTTATAGATTTAATGCTTACAAAGCTTAAATTTATTAAAAGTAAATAACAACCACATACTGTGTGTCACTATAGAGAGTAAGTTATATAGTAGAATTTATTATATTAAAATCAGAAATAATAATAAGCCATGCCAATTTGATTCTTTGTTTTAACATAAACCCTCTATTTTTAAAAAATTTATATGAAAAAAAACATATTAAGCAATCAAATTGCAGTATTGGCTTTTTACATTTGTAGAGCCAATAAAATTATAGCGCTGTTTTATACCCACCTCTTTATGAGCTATTCTTTGTTAAACAGAAAATCAAAATGGTGTGGCCTAATTCTAATACAAACTATAGTATGTCATCTAAATCACGTTGTGTATCACTATAGCTCGTAAGTTTTATAAAAGAATTTATCATAATAATCAGAAATGACAATATTCTAATACAAACTAACAATACTTTATCTAAACTACATACTGTGTATCACTATAGCTCGTAAGTTCTATAGCAGAATTTATTACAAAAAACAGACGATAATCCTAATGCAAACTAACATAATACGTCATCTAAACTATATACTTTGCGTTACTACAATAGTCGGTAAGTTCTGTAGCAGAATTTATTACATTAAATAAGAAATACGATATTCCAATACAAACTAACACAATACATCATTTAAACTGTATGTAACCATAGCACGTAAGTTATAGCAGAATTTATTATAGAGAATTTATTACCAATACAAACTAACACAATATATTATTTAAATCACATAATTATAGGGGGTAAGTTCTATAGCAGAATTTATTACAGTAAATCTGAGAATTCTAATACAAAATACGTACCACAATATGACATCTAATACAAAATACGTACCACAATATGACATCTAAACCACATACCGTGTGTCACTATAGCATGTAAGTTCTATAGCAGAATTATTACAAATACCGTACTCGATATTAAATAGGCATCATCCCCTCTACCCAATTTTTTTAAATGTCAGATTAGCGGAAATCGCAATGAGATCTTTAGTCAAGTTATTCCCGCTAGTCTGGCATTTAAAAATGGTAGAGATGATGGTGTTTATTTACGATAGAATACGGTAATGATAATTTTAATACAAACTAACAAACATAACACGTCATCTAAACCATATACTATAGCGGGTAAGTCCTATAGCAGAATTTATTACAGAAATATCACTAATTCCAATACAAATAACGCAATACGTTATCTAAACCACATACTATGCTTTACTATAGCTTGTAAGTTCTATAAATGGATTTATCATATCAGTGGATTTGCGAAATTGAACCTAAATTCAGGTCCATATATTTTAACAATGCGATTGTAAAATAGACACCAAAATTCCAGCTATTATACATGCCGTATATGTCGCATCTGAAGTAGCGATTCATCTAAAGTAGCTACTTTATCGTTATATCTAAAGTAGCGCCCTGACTAAAATTATAACTTAATGCATGCATGAAAACCTAATTTCAGGAGATTAATTTTAGCCAGGCGCTACTTTAGATAAATCGCTACTTTAGATGCAACATATATACAGTTATATTGTTAAATCCAATGTCACCCAATTTCGCAAATCTACGATATCGATACGTTACAGTAATATGTAATCAAAAAATTTCCTCTCAATGCGACTTAATCCTAAAATATTTCATTACACCTATCTTTCAATATAATTGGATAAAATCACGAGAGGGATTTTTGTGGGAGCTACCGAAAAATTACAATTACTGTTTATCATAATTGTTACACGAAAATAATTGTGACAAATTAAATTGCAATTAATTGTCAGATGTGATGAATCATTGTGTGTGCCAAATAAGAATTCATTAATTAATCAATTATTCGGTAGGCCTGCTTTGATAATTCCAATACAAACAAACTAACATAATACGTCATTTAAACACATACTGTAGGAGGTAAATTCTATTCCAGAATTCATTACAGTAAATCAGAAATAACGGTAATCTAATACAAACTAACACAATACATTATCATATAAACCACATACTGTTTGTTACCACAATAGTCTGTAAGTTCTGCAGAATTCATTACAGTAAATCAGAAATGATGACAATTACAATACAAATTAACACAATACCACCTACCGTGTGTCACTATAGCGAGTAAGTTCTATATTAGAAAGCCTGTTAAATTACTTAACTTTCAAAGCTTTATATGCACAGTTAAGTATAATACAAAACTTGCAATTTTGAACGTTAAGTAATTGAATAGCACCAGTAAATCAGGAATAACGATAATCCTAATACAATTAACATAATATGTCATATAAATAACATATTGTATGTCACTATAGCAAGTAAGTTCTATAGCAGAATTTATTGCAGTAAATCAAAAATATTATAACAATAATTCTAAACTACGTAATATCACTATAGCTAGTAAGTTTTATAGCAGAATTTATTATTAGTAAATCAGAAATAACGATAATTCCAATACAAATTAACACTGTCATCACTATAGCAGGTAAGTTCTTTAGCAGAACTTATTATAAGGCTGTTTAAAATAACTTTACTAGTATATTTGTAGCCACAAGTTTCGTAGTATGGTGTATTGCAATAATTAGTTTATAGTATTAAAAAATTTAGAAGTAAAATCAAAAATACTGTGCAATGAAGCCAATTAGTTTAGGTGCATGATATATTTGTGATTTTATTTCTAGCTAAATATATACACAATACTACAAATATACTAGTAAAGTCCATTAAACAAGCCTACAGTAAATCAGAAATAACGAAATCCTAATACAAACTAACACAATGCGCCACCTAAATTACATCTTGCGTCATTATAGGGAGTAAGTTCTAGAACAGAATTTATTATAGTAAATCAGCGATAACAATGATTGAATACCAACTAATACATGATCTAAAATACATACTGTGTGCACCATAGCTAGTAAGTTCTATAATAAAATTCACTCCAGTAAGTAGCAGAGGTTTTTTCGATTAGAGCAGAAAATACCTATTCACTTCCCACCATTGTTTAAGTGTCTTTTTTGATCCATTATAATAATGTAAATAACTTGGATCAAAAAAAAAAAATTGAATGGCTGAGAAATAAATAAATAGGTGTTTTGCTCTGGTTTAATGCGTCGAAAGCGCATAAGGAAAGCTTCTTTCTGCGTTGAAAATATAAGTTTTTTCATTCGCAACGCAAAAAGAAGCTCTCCTTATGCAGACTCGGGTTACACTCGGCGCGCCTCCGACGTATTAAACAAGGTAAGCAACTGTTAAAAATCGAAAAAGACCTTTGCTACAGTAAGTCAGAAATAACAAGAATTCCAAGACAAACTAATAAAATACATCATATAAACCACATACTGTATATCACTATAGCGAGTAAGCATTATAGTAAAACAGAAATAACGATAATTGTAATATAAACTGACACTATACGTTATTAAACCACATAATGTGTGTCACTATAGCGGGTAAGTTCTATAGAAGAATTATTATGATAAAACAGAAATAATGATAAGTCCAATACAAACTAACGTCATCTAAACCAATGCTATGTGTCACTATAGATAGTAAGTTCTTTATTACAGTAATTCAGAAATAGCGATAACTCTAATATAAACTGACACAATACGTCATTTAAACCACATAATGTGTCACTATAGCTCGTAAGTTCTATAACAGAATATATTGCAGTAAACAAAAAATAAGATAATTCCATCACAAAATAACACAATACGCCATCTAAACCACATACTGTGTGCCATTATAGCATGTAAGTTCTATAGCAGAATATATTACAGTAAATAAGAAATAAGATAATTCCAATACAAACTAATCCAATACATCATCTAAACCACATACTGTGTGTCACTATAGGATGTAAGTTCTATAGCAGAATTTATTACAATAAACCAAAAATAATGACAATTCCAATAAAAACTAATACAAATACAATATATCATCTAAATCACATATTGTGTTTCACTATAGCTAGTAAGTTCCATAGCAAAATTATTAGCAGGAGGAACCGTTGAGGGTACATAAATAATCCCTTTACCTGTTAGATTAGTTGTGTATAGGGATAGGCTCTGTCATGAACGGTCACAATTATTCATAGCCAATTTGCTAAATACTGATATGATTTTTTACTTTTGAGCTTTTAATTAAAGTTGATCAGAATAAATTCTGGTCATTCTATCTTATAAATGGAAAGAGCGATACCTTCTCTGAACTCGGAATTTCAAAAAATGTTAACGCCATGACCAGTTATAATTAAAAGCTCAAAAGTAAAAATCATCTCAGTATTTAGCAACTTGGCTATGAATAATTGTGGCTGTTCATGACCGAACCTATCCCTAGTTGTGTAACATTGACAGTTCCTCCTATTAAATTATTACAAAAACAATACGTCATTTAAATCGCATACCGTCTGTCGCAATAGCCGGTAAGTTAGAATTTATTAGAAATAACGATAATTCCAATACAAATTAACACCATATAAACCATATACTGTGTGTTACTATAGCTTGTAAGTTCCATAACAAACTTTATTACAGTAAACCAGAAATAACAGATAACTCCAATACAAATTAATACAAACTCACAATACGTCGCTATACGTAGCGAGTAAGTTCTATAACAGAATTTATTATAATAAAACATAAATAACGATAATTCCAATACAAACTAACACAATGTGTCGATATATTATATGTCATCATAGTTAGTATGTTCTTTATTACAGTAATTCAGGAATAACGATAATGATAATTCTAAATAAAACCTAATACAATACGTCATCTAAACACAATCGTGTGTCACCATAGTTCGTAAGTTCTATAGTAGAATTTTTATAGTAATGATAATCCTAATACAAACTGACACAATACGTTATTTAAACCACGTAATGTGTGTCACTATAGCGGGTAAGTTCTATAACAGAATTTATAACATATTACAGTAAATCAGAAATAACAATAATTCCAATACAAACTAACACAACACGTTATCTAATCCATATACTGTGTGTCACAACAATAGTCGGTAAGTTCTATAGCAGAATTTATTATAGTAAAACAGAAATAAAGATGTCAACTAAACCATATATTGTGTGTCATTATAGCAAGTAAGTTCTATAATGGAATTTATTACAGTACTGTAAATCAGAAATAATGATAATTCCAATACAAACTAGCACAACATCACTAATCACATACTATGTTTCACCACTATAGTCAGTAAGTTCTATATCAGAACTTATTTACAGTAAAACAGTAATTCCAATACAATACATCGTCTAAATCACATACTTGTATGTTACTATAGCGAGTAAGTTCTATAACAGAATTTATTACACTAAATAAGAAATAACGATACTTTCAATACAAACTAACTAACCACATACTGTGCTTCATCACGATAGTCGGTAAGTTTTATAGCAGAATTTATTTAAAGTAAAACAGAAATAACAATAATTCCAATTCCAATACAAACTAACACAATACGTTATCTAAACTACATAATGTGTGTCACTATAGCTAGTAAGTTCTGAATTTATTACGGTAAACCAAAATACTGGCATACGATAATTCTAATATAAACTAACACAATATGTTATTTAAACCGCATGATGTGTGCCACTATAGTGAGTAAGTTCTGTAGTATAATTTATTATATTCCACGGCCCTATATGTTCGCCCGTGAACATCTCTGACGATATTTTTATGATGATGTAATGGCGTGAAAATATCAAAAATTATTCCACGGCATGACATCATCAGTAAAAATTTTCAATCAGAAATGTTACGGGCATAGGACCGTGAAATATAACAGATATCCAACGGTGTGCCGTGACATCATGCATTACCACGGCTTCGCCGTGCTAATTCATATATTCACAACAGCCCGTGGAATATCTATTACATAGACAATGATAATTCCAATACCAAACGTCATCTAAACCGCATACTATGTACGATAGTCGGTAAGTTCTATAACAGAAGTTACTCATATGGGCTAATATGTAAAGTAATGCAGAAGAGAGAATCCCAAATTTTGATACACGTAGTAAGACAGGTTATTTGACAATACAATTGACTGAGACGGAAAGTTTATTTTGATAGTTTACTCATAACAATAACAAAGTTAAACTTGACTAAGTAGGTCCAGGCTAACAATTAGACGATAATCTAATGGGTTTTATGCATGTTCATTATATCATTCTTGCACAATAATACAGAAGACAATCGTCCTAATAATTCGTTATACCAATCAAAAAACATTAAATAAGGGATTTAGATTATAGATGCTGGTGAATGGTGGTGAAACTGGTGAAATTTGTGAAATTTATTATAGCAGCCAATCAGATTTTAGATAGCCACCAGTTTCACCAATTTCACCAGCACCTATAATTTAGATTAAATTTAGTGACTCTATTCAGGATCCAATTTTACGGATTGGCCCATATGTACAATAAATCAGAGATATGTAACGATAAATCCAATACAAACTAACACAATACGTCATCTAAACACATATTATGTGTCATTATAGCTCGTAAGTTCTATAGCAGAATATATTACAGTAAATAAGAAATAGGATAATTCCAATACAAACTAACACAATACATCATCCAAACCACATACTGTGTCACTATAGCTTGTAAGTTCTATAGCAGAATATATTACAGTAGATAAGATATAGGATAATTCCAATACAAACTAACACAATAGTCATCTAAACCACATACTATGTGTCACCATAGTCGGTAAGTTCTATAACAGAATATATTACAGTAAATAAGCAATAAGATAATTTCAATACAAACTAACACAATACGTCGTCTAAACCACATACCGTGTGTCTCTATAGCATGTAAGTTCTATGGCAGAATATAAGAAATAAGATAATTCTAATACAGCAATACAAACTAACACAATACGTCATCTAAACCACACACTGTATGTCACTATAGCAGGTAAGTTCTATAACAGAATTTATTACAGTAAATCAGAAATAACTACTGTAATAAAAAATAATAGGATGTTCAGAATTCAGCAATTTCTAGTAGTCAATCGGGCCGACACTACCGATATTATTAATAGCTCTATACAGAAATTTTGATTTATATAAGACAATCGTCAAGTATTATTTCGAGCCAACAATAAGCTACACTTTAAATGTTGCAAATTCAGAATCATCAGACCAATATAAATGCACTATTTAACTATGAGTTTTGCACCGCAAAATTTCCAGTTGCAGAATTCTGGAAATAATGATGCTGAAATTTGAGGACTATATTGGAAAATATCAACTCTACTAAATCCACACATGGCATACTCTTTTTATTATAAATCTAACTCTACATCCTAGCCAAACTCTAATAAAAAAGAACCCAACCAAATTTAAAATTTCGTTAAAATAAGCTCAACTTTCAGCATCATTAGCTCATCCTTATAAAAATATTATCGAAAATTACCGAAAATAAGCAATCCAGATCCTGGAAAACAAGCATTTGGCAGGTTTTACTAATAAATTTAGACCCGAATATAAGCAATTTCATCACTTTAGCCTAAAAAAGTATTTTTTGCGATTCTGATTGTTTATTTTCGTTAATATTCGGTATTTGTTGTATTCATGCGTGAAAAATGCTTAAAAAGTACCATTGTTTTAAAAAATCAAAATTATATTCTTAATGTATTATTATAATTTTCAATATTTAAGGTTTAAAAATGATTTTCATAACTGGACAAGTGGCAATCATGACATCGATAAATTTATTCAACAAACACAACTTAATGCAACGAATCTCGATAAAATTATTGAATGGATACCTTTTGACAAACTTACAAATATAAAATATCTTGCTGAAGGAGGCTTTGGCACTGTTTTTAAAGCAATATGGATTGACGGATTTATTATTGAACCTGGTCTGGAGAATAAATGGAAAAGAAAGCCGCAAATAGAAGTTTGTTTAAAAAGTCTTGATAATTCTAAAGATAAAATTCAAGAATTTTTAAAAGAAGTAAGAATTATGTAAATTATTGATTATAGTAATTTATTTATCATAATTAAAATTGATATTTTAGGTTGAAATTCAATATAAACATGGAGGCTATTCAGCAATCGCAATTTATGGAATAACTAAAAACCCAAAAGATAATAATTATATAATAGTTATGGAGTATGCAAAGCAAGGAAGTCTCCGAAAATTATTAAATAGTAAACATAGCGACTTGGATTGGGTTTCTAAAATACTTAACTTATTTTGCATAGCTAATGGGCTTCATATAATTCATAAATCTAATTTAGTGCATAAAGATTTTCATTCTGGAAATATAGTTGGTCAAGATATGTTTAGTTCTTATATTACCGATTTTGGCTTATGTACGTCTCAAGATTCGAATTCTAAAACGCTTTTTGGTGTGCTTCCTTATATTGCACCAGAAGTATTATATATAGACGGAAAGGAATACACTCAAAAGTCGGATATTTATTCTTTTGGAATTATCATGTCAGAAGTTTTTACTGGATATCCGCCATATCATGATATCCCACATGATAGTGACCTAGCAATTAAAATTTGTCTAGGAGATAGACCCGAAATCAGATGTAAAGTTCCGCAATTACTTTTAGATTTGATGAATAAGTGTTTAGATGCTGAACCTCAAAACCGACCAACTGCTAAAGAATTAGGCGAAAAACTGTTCCAATTTTATTGTGATTTGAAGAATGAAGAAACAGAATTATATAAACAAGTTAAAGAGATTAAGGATACGAGCGAAAATTCTTCAACATATAATGAAATTAAATCGGCACGACACAACTTTCAGACACACAAACAAGCTATTTTTATAAGTCGGCTTTTAAACTTTTCAAAGCTTCCTAAAGCGATAAATAAATCGGCAGATCCAAGTAAGATTATAATTCTCTCAAAATAGTCAGAGAATTACTAATTGAAACTCTAATTAGAGAAGCAAAATCCTCTGATAGTATTCTCTTGAGTTATCTGAGATTCCATTAAATTTTCTCTTTCTGGTCTATACTGATATTATTAAAGAGATCAATGTTAGTATTGAGGAATCATTATCTAATACTGCTAATAAACAATTATGGATTGCTTTTGGTCATTGGTTAGGTTTAAAGGGTCAAAATGGTCCATTAAAAAGAAAACATATATGACAGCACCTTAGGTTGTTATAAAAAAAACTTTAGCATACTCATGATATCCAAAATAATAAGGATTTTCAAAATCTTTTTTTTAATACAGTTATTGCATATAATACTCAAAAAGAAAAGTCAAGTTTGATTATATCAGCATATCATAATCTTCAATCAATAAGTGAATTGGTTCAATTCAAATACATAACAGAATCAGAATGCATTATAGATCTAAATAGTTAAACATTAGTTTATTTAGAGCAACTCAATGACAACAATGATGTTATATTTGCAATCAATATTGTAAATAATTATTATTTTCATACATTAGAGTATTCTTTATATTGAAATAATGAATTTTGGATTAATTTTAGTAAACATTTTGAAGCTTATATTAGAAACAACTTGCTTTCTTTTACAAGCTCTAATACTGCAAGTACACATAATATTGATCATCATGAATATGTTAACAAATTATTTTGAGGCCTCAAGTCATTATTAGATTATGTTAATCAATTTCTTCAAAACTATTATGAAGATTTATATATGAAATTGAATAAATTGTCATGAGGTCTATTTGCACCAAAACTTTTTGGAGTTTTCCTAATAATAACTATTAATTTTAATACTACTAGTAATTATCATTGTGATGAGCATAATGAAGCAAATAGTTTATGTGTTTTAGTTGTATTAGAAGACTATAAATAAGGAAAGTTATATTTTTTTCAGTTCTAAATGCTTGTATATCTTTAGCCAGGACAAATTATAGCATTTGTTTCATGTTTATTATTTCATAGAAATTTTTAATAACTAAAGGAATATGACACAATGTTGTTTATTTTGTATATAACATATTTTTTCATTATTTACAAGATTTTACTAAAGTTTATATTAAGGCTAAAATTGAGAAAGATGCAAATATACCAATATTTTCTGAACAAGATCTTAATAATGTTCAGAATTTAAACTACCAAATTCAATTTTCTAAACCAAAAACAATTAAATACAGATTCTTTTTGCTATATCTGATTAGAGATAAAGATATTGTTACAAAATAGATTTTAGCATAGTATATTATATAGTAATATTAGTAATTATATATATTCATTATTGTATTTTATATTATATTTATTATTAGTCATTAGTTAGTTGATAGTTATATTATATAGTAGATAGATAAAAGGATCTTAATTAGCTATTATAAATGTAGTACAGCTATATGATATTAAATAACATTTGTAATATTATTATCGTCTTACAAACCCCAAGTACCTCTGTATAAGTTTCATATATTCTAGCACCAAATTAATGTACTAAGTGTCACAGCACAAGAATCCTGAATATTCTTGACATGAACCCCAAGTGTCTTCGCACGAACTTCAAGTATTCTTGCACAAATCCCAAGTGCCTTTACATAAATCCAAGTGTCTAAACACAAGTCCCAAGTGTTTTAACCACAAATGACAAATGATATAAACAATATTCCCAGTTGTCTTAGCACAATTCCCACTACCTCAAGCACAGTATCATTTAATGTTGTTCAAACCTCTACTATCCCAACTACAATGATATCTAATGTTGTTCAAACCTCCATTATCCTAAGTACAGTATCAAGTAATGTTGCTTAAATCTCCACTATCCTTGCTAGATAAAAAGATATATAAAGGATAGCTTTTACTCTTCTCTGCCAATTCTAAGTTCTTATACTTCAACTTAGACTCTTCTACTTTTACTTCTAATTTGTAAAAGTGATATTTCTCCTCTAGAATAATTTCTATAGGCAAGGTTATCACTGTGTGTTTATTTAATAAAAGTTAATTTATATACTGTTACTATCTCAAACTGTTTGCCTACTGCTGTGTAGTAAAGTGAACTACTACACTTCTATCCTGTATATATTTGCAATAGTCAATCACTGTATTAGGTGACCTTGTTACTTGGTTGTATTGTACCAAGAAGACTACAACTCTGTAACATTTTGGTGTCTTTTAGCAGAAATATAAAAATTTATCTTAGAAAAGGAACAGAAACTTCTTTCAAGAAACTAATTTAGAAAGCAATTCTCTCTCTAGAAAGGATTTATTTTAAAAGTAGCAATTGTAAAAAAGCATTTTGAAATTTTGGAATTATTATTTTAAATATATCTTTACTAACTCAAATTGAATTGAATTATTTTGTATTTTGCATTTGTATTTTGTATTTAGAAATTGAAGAAGTTTATACTTTTAGCTTTTATCTTTGAATTTTTAATTTTTGAAACAATTTTGATTTTGATTTTTGACTTTGATTCTTGATTTTAATATTACTTACTGGCTAATGAATATATTCTGAATTGTTTAAACTTTTAATTAATTACTTGAATTTTTTACTTGTTATCACTATTATTTTAGATTTATTCTCTCAATTTTATTATTTTATTTTATTATTTTATTACTCATTAGTACTAACCCTTCTTAAAGAAATTTATTTTATAAAAGAGTTTATTATTCAATTTCATTTAGAAAATATTCAAAGACATTAACAGATTTATAGTGAAAACTTTTCTCTTACTACTACTGTATTGCAAACTCTTGCAATTGATTTATCTTGTTCTTAGTGTTATCTACTAACACCTATTCCTCTTAATTCTCATAGACATTTTGCTAAATTTTGTGCTTGGTATTTAAAAGTCTTTTATGCTATTTCTTATACTAAAGTTACTCAAACTAACTTTCTAAGACTAGCTACTTCTACACATTCAGTGTTCAAGTTACTGCTAGAAATATTATTTTTAGTTGTCATTATCAAAACCAGATAACTAATCTTTAAGAAATTATCCAACTTCTCTTTTGAAAATATACCACTCACTACTCAGTACCATCAGTTACTGCTGACTAAAAGACTCTATTTGATATTTTTATTGATGATTTAGTTAAAGCTCAACAACATACTGAAGTTTTACAAACTGCTGTATTAGAATCAACATAAGGCTCTGAGAAAGAAACTAGTACATCTACTTTTCAACAATTACTACAAGGAACTGTTATCACTATAGAAGAACCTATTACTACTTTTACTTCTTCTATTACCACTATTGTTATTTTTACTCAAACTCTAATACTTATTGTAAACCTTAGCTCTTTAGCACCATATAGTGAAGATCAAATCAGTAGACAGTATACCTTTTTCTGACAAAATAACCCTTCAAGAAGAGGATCATTACCTTCTTTTTCTACTCAATCAGTAGCTTTACAAGAAAGAAAAAGTACTCAAGAACCTTTTTACACTCCTACTTGATCTTCCTATATCTCTTAACTTTCAACCTTAACAACATCAAGATTAATTACTAGATTTACTAATTATTTAACTAAAGGAATTTATTTTCTTTCACCTTGACCTGGTATTGAATCAAGTTCAGAAAAATTTTCTTCTACAACTACTGAAAATCTTACTACAACTAAAGAAGAATTTTTTCTAACTTTTGGCTTATCAGAAGCAACTAGTTATCCTAATATCTTAATTACACAACCTAACTATTCTATTATTGAGATACCATCTAACTATCAACAACTAATTAACTCTAAAAATCTTGTTTAAAACTTAGAAACTTACTCACAAGAAGATACAACTCTAACTGTTGAAGACCTTAACCTACTATTAGAACAAACTTATTTTAAAGAAGAATAATCTTTATCAAAAGAAGAAGAACCAAAAAGTTTAAATGAAACTATTACTAACAAACTTGACTCTGAAGACAAAAGAGCCATGGACAATGCTATTGCTGCAATGAATAGACTAATTGATACTCTGGAAGCTGAAGAGAAATTACTCTTTAAGATTATATCATTTAAAGGTAATAGAACTAAAGACCCAGTTGATTGGATTAATGAATTTGAATAAGCTGCTATTGCCAATAGATGGTCTGAATCTAGAAAACTTGCAATTGCCTAAGTATATATGAAAGACAATGCAAAAGATTGGCTTAAAGGACTAGGAGATAATTATTTTCAATCATATAATGAAGAAGATTCATCTCGATTCAAAACTCAATTCTTAGAACAATTTAAAACAGTCAAGAAGAAAGCTATATGGCAACAAAAATTCTTTAATCTAAAACAAGAAACTAATACTGTTTATACATATATTGTCCAATTTAAAAAGCTCAGAAGAAAAGTAGATCCTAATAAGGGCTTCCAAAATGATTTTATTATACAACTCTTTATTAAAAGATTGCAATCTAAATATGCAATACCTGTACAAGCATCAGTTTCTAAGGACTTTGCTGCTGCTATTGAAAAAGCAAAATATTGGAAACTAGAAAAAGTAATAGCCACTTCAGAAAAAGATGATGTTAATAACATTACCAAACAACTAGCTCAACTATATATCAACTCAGTCATAACCCAATCTTAACCAACATTACAAGCTTAACAAACTTCATAATCTTATACAGCTTATACTGCAGAAAGAGGAAATAATCCTAAACTTAACTCTGCACAGAACAGAGCTCTTTGCTATTACTGTAGTAATCCTGAACATTTCATGGCAAATTGTAGAAAAAGACAGAATAAAAACCAAAGAAACAGAAACTTTGAAAGAAGCAGAAATAACAATAATAACTGTAATAATAATAACAGAAGAAACTACAACAATTAAAGAAATAATTATCAAAGAGACAGAAGCAGAAGCAGATTCAGAGACAGAAACTATTTAGGAAGTAACAAAACTAGAGACAGAAGTTAAAAAAGATGGTGACCAAGATTTAATCACTCACT